AGCATCCTCCCCTTCTCCCCAGCTCCCGCCATTCTGCAATTCAGAACACAGCAGGTCTTTGCTGGCAGTCTACCAGTGGAGTATTAAAGGTCCCAACGTTTAAACTGTAATCTGTGGCATTCAGTAGAAGTAGGACTGGCTTGATGTCCAGGCTCTACAATGAGAATGATGCCTTCATTCAGCAATCCCATGAAAACCATACTCCTCCGTCTAAAATAACTAGAACATCCACAGCTCAAAGAAATTATTCTCTATCATGGTCTCTTGTCATCAGAACAGATTCATTTACAAAAATAACAGAGCTGATTTCATTTTATTTGATTTAATGGGTCAGGTCTTTGGGGAAAAACTGGGTGTTCTATAAGGTAATAAATCATACTTTAGTGTCAGAAAGAGTTCTCATCTGGTTCCCAGGGCATAGTGGGATATGGATCTTTGGGTTTTAGTCCATATTACTTCCTAGAAAGTGTGGGCTACAAAGGAACTCTTCCCTGTGTAGTCCAGTGTTTGATTACATCTCTTTCAGCTCACAGAGGACATACTAAACCAAGACAGGGTGGTTTTAAACAAACTCCACCCTCAAATGCCACGTAGCATCCCCACAGAGCAACCTGCCAAGGGAGAAATCCAGCAGCGGGCTTCCTATTTGATAGATAAAGAACCTCATATAGAAAAGAGATGAGTCATTTGTCCAGATCACATTTGTCCAGAGAAATACTCATGGCTTTTTAACTTCAGGCTTTCTACCTCTGTACCACCTCCTCTGGGTGACAGCTATAAGAACCAAAAGAAGGGCCCTTTGCATTGATCATAGATTTCCTTTCATCTTGGAATTACTCTGTAGATAACATAATAATGCCCTGGGCACCTCCTCCCAATAAATGAACCTAGATAACATGATAATCCAATTTCAAACACTGCCATCCAGATACAAGACTTCAGGTTGGTTTCTCATTGAGGGAGAAGGAAAAAGTCACACACAGGCACTGTTAGCCAGGAATCTTCCCTCACACTTTCACCATCACTAGGAAGAAATTTTTTTTTCCATTTCAGTTATAAAATGTATTTTACTACCAAAACAACTACACAAGTCTTATACCTTAAGAAAGAAAATGAACCATGAAAACATCTAAAGACAATTTCAAATAATTTAGAAAACTTGTGCTATATCAAAAGGAGCCTAGGTTGAGATTTTTAGGGCCCCAATTTAACCATTACAGGAAATTTTTTAGTTTTACACAATTAGTAGTTGAGCTTCAAAACACTCAAATTGATATCAGGCCACTCAAAGTTATTTAAAAGTAAACTGGCAATTAGTAATAACAGTCATAATGAAATCTAGCATCAGTACCATGCATGAGAATTGATCAACTGCTTTCACACCTAGCACATTTCATCCCCACCACCTCTCTAAACTGGCTACTATTATCTTCCTTTCGTAAATTAACACTGTAGGCCAAAAAAGCTCAAATATGGGATTCATACCCAAGTGTTCTAAATCAAAATCTAAAGCTCCTTTCATTTTAGCCCAAATAAATCTCAGCAGTGCCAGGTCAATTCACAATACATATTGGGAAATTATAGGTTGAATAAAGAGTAATTCTTCATTTTTGAAATTGTACATGCACTAATTTTTAAATGGGTAAAACACTATCATAAAAACAAGAGGATTAAGTACTGAACATGACGTATTCAGCAGTTCTCCTTAAGCTATAACACTTTGCATAATGTCTTGCCCATTTGTAATGTTTTCCCAACTACCGACCAAAATTACTTCAGTTCTCTGGGGCAAAAATGTTTTGGCTCTCCCAACAGTTGCATCTCTCCTGCATCCCGTAGGGTGTTTCATCATCTCACTCCATCGCCATCTCTAATATGCCTATAGAGGAGGAAACTTCAGGGTCTGGGTAGAGCTCTATACCGTCAACATTTATAGGGTTACAGGTGGTTGGCAAATACGATTCAGCAACTGCTGATTCTGTTCCCTGTAACCTCCTTGCAAAAAGGAAGGGAAGCCTCTTAGGGAAAATTTAGCTTAGGTACTATATATCAGAGGCTGATTATCAACGAATATTCATTCTGCCCATTTTTAATAATGGAAC